TTTTATCCAATTACCTACTTAAGTGAGGAAAGTTTAACAATGAATCAATATTGCAATAGTTTAACATTAAATCAATACTGTAGTATCTAAAACCGCATTCTAAATATTTTCGCCTGTACAGAATGTTTACAGTCCTTGGTCAAAAGATATTTCTTATTTGACGCCTTCAAAATCGTAAATTTCTCTACAAAATTAATGCCGGTTCAAAATTGATCTTTGCTTAATTTTGTATTTTTTATTTATGTGTATGCTTTTCACACAATCTTATAATCTTATTTAAAACTGATATATGTTTCGCTAACAATCTTGCTGTTATAAAGAAATGACAAAACATTATTAAGCACGCTGTCTATTTTAACAATAATTTTGTTGCCATTAAGAAGTACAAAAATATTATTGAGAAGCATACTGGTCAATTATATTTCTCTGTTGTTAAACAATACGCTCTTATAATTTTAGTAATGTCGTCGCTTAGTTGATAGTTAATAGATTTCTCACGCTACAGTTTTATTTCCTGATCCCCCCTTCCCTTTCTAACAGATAAAGTGTTCCTAACTACTTTAGTTAAGAATAGAAAACATTTGTCAGGGTATGTCTATTCTTCCAATTTCCGATTGGCCCACCAGCGGCTGAGCGGTAAAGTCGCTAAACACTGGTAGTTCGGTTCGAGGTTCGAATCCCGCGAACGGGCTGGCTGCATGGGTGTTTTTGTGGTTTTCCCCGTGTGTAACGTGTATACGAGCCAGTTTCCCTTAGAAAGTCCTCCACGAAGGCTATCCCCTCCCCTTAGGCAAATAGCCCTAGTGTGCTTTGCCATAATTAAATAAACATATAAATACACCAACTTCCGATTGTCTATTTTTTCTTCTAAGTAATACAATAAAATATAAGACATTTTTAAAATTTATTTGATTCAAATATTTATAACCTTTAAAATTTATCTTTCATCTATCTCGTAATATCTTTAAATATTCAAAGCATTACTATTGCATAAGAAAATTCTTTCTGCATTGTTGAGAGTTTGAGAAAATATTACGATTTAAAGAGATGCGCAAAGTGCAAATTAAACTATTTAGTTTGACAAGCTCTTTTGAAAATTTCATCATATTCTGCTTCTGATTTAACTTTTTAGAGTAATACTTAAAATATTCCCTGTTAGTAGCAGCGAACATTCGAAATTTTAATAATTTAATTTAATTTAATTTAAATAAATTCTAATAACTTGTTTCAAGAACTTGTTTGACTTGTTCAATCTTTCCTATTTGTAGCTAATACATAAAATAATAATGTAAATTTTTAAAAGTACCCTAAGTTTTTAAAACTGAGTGCATTTTAAACTTCTTTTGAAATTATTTATAAGATTGCAGCTTTTAGTAAAGTATATGTGAAGTGACAAAAAATTGTATACTATTTTCAATAATATAAAAATACCCAATAGGCTGCGTAGGAAATGAAAAAGAAAAACCTGATGACCGGATAGTAATAAAGTTGGAAACGACTACTATTTAAGTCGACGTTTTCACTGTACTTTTCAGCTGTTATTAGAGTATTATCTTTGTCAAAAAGACGATGTGCCACGCATTCTAAAGGAAAAAACGGATAACTTTAGTTTAGAACTGTTATTCCTCTGGTTGAAAATATCAAACTGTGTAAATAAAAAAAAAACTAGAGAAGAGAATTTTCTGAAAAAAGCTTCTCTTGTAAGTTTATTACAATCCCATTCAGAGATTTGAAGCTGTCTCCATAGTACTTGACATAAATGCTGGGTGCAAATAAATGACCATTTTGAGTACAGACTGATATTAACATCAGTATTATTATAAGTGCATAAATAATGACCCGAAAAATTTTAACTAAAAATTGCCATGACAGTTGAGATCTTAACGTGTTTCTCCGTTCTCTCAACCACACAATATGCAATTTTGGAAAATGACTGCAGAAAAGGGTCGAACTCAGTGATTCTCATACTCGCACGTTTTATTGTAAAATACGCTGCTATCTTTTACTAATTACAGGGGGGCCGCCCACTGCATTTTTGTATTATTGTTATTTTTATATCAAAACATTTTTTTTTTTAATTTTTTGATTCAGATGAAAAACTTCTAGATTCAGATAGTTAGGTTTTCTGAATATGAAATAGAATTTTAAGAAAATATGATCTTTAATCATTCATTCTCCTTGAAAAGGTTGGTACAAGTTATGGTAAAAGGAAAGATTATATAAAATTTCCCAAACCAGTACTTTTATAAATGTAGTTTTCAATTTTTTACTGTGTTTGAAAAATCTGCTAATTGTGTCATCTTTTTCTCAAATTACTCTATATGTGAGTGCATTCTACTAATTTTTTTAAATAAAATAACTATTTTTAATATTAGTTTCGTTAATAAATGTGTGTTAATTTTTATGCAGATTTGCAAGAGTAAATGGGTTGTTTATAGGCCCAGTTATAATCTTTGTCAAAAAACAAAATTAAAACAATATTATTTTTAATGCCACTTATAAATTACAGTAAATGTGTAATGAAATCCATAAGCCTAGTTTTTTTTTTTTTTTTTTTTTTTTTTTTTTAAATTTTTTGATTCAGATGAAAAACTTCTAGTAAAGGGATCAAGTAGCTCTTGCTTTTACTGACAGTTGAATAATACCATAGTTTCAAGATAATACTTCAAATTCAACAAAATCATATTTTAGCAAAATTCATTCATAAATCTGTCAAAAACTACTTAAAAATGCCAGTTTGCAGCAAAGAAAAATTAAAAATTGCGAAAAGTGAGCAATGGATTACATTATTAGGCAACAAGAATCAGCAGTAAATTTTTTAAATGTGCAAAACTATTTCCATGAAGGTTTGACTATAGAACATTCTACAGCTTCAGGAGTGAAAAAGATCAAAAAGAAGCCTTCTGATTATTTCGATTATGGCTATCTTGCCTAGGGCCATGGATGCTTTCGTGGAGAACTTTCTTTAAGAAAATGGCTTATATTTGCGTTACGTTTATAAATTAATTTTTGTGAAACTGTTTGATGACGAATATCTTTCTAATTTAAAAGAATGCTAGCTAAACCAACTTTTTTTTTATTCGAAACGGGAATAATCCTTGATACTTATGTTCGATTTAAACTGTACATTGCAGCTTTTTAATTTTGTTAACTCAGATGGCTTATGAATTTAAGTGTTTTTGAATTTATTTAGGTTTACCTAATATTCAGTCTATCAGAATCTAAAAACACTGGTTGTGTTCATTTAGGCAATAGTAATATAATTATTAAAATTATATTTATATAGCAAAATATATAGCAAAAATTTCCTACGACTTTTTTGCATCTATTGTCATTATTATATTTAAATCAATTTTTAAAACAGCCTCTGTCCTCATCATTGACTAAAAAATAACTTTTATTTAATATATTATTCTAAATTTCTTCTTAAGTTAAACATTTTAAACAATATCAAAGTCTTCAGGGAAAGGGGGAGGAGGAAAGTATTTGAAAAAATTTATTCCTGAAAAAATCGCAATCTTTAAGTAATATAACTTTTCTCATAAATAATTCTTTTTCTATTAGTAAAATGCCTCCTTTCTGCTTACAGCATGTCAGATTTGAAAGCTACTACTGTTAAACTACATATAGCAATTTATAACATTCTGATCAAATAGAAATTTCTGATCACGAAAATAGATAGTTCTATAGAAGAAATCTGATTCGATTGAACCTCATGTCTTCCCTCAAGAATAAGTTTTATAGGCAGTATATTTTTTTGGTAACTTCTTTCAGGAAAAATATTTTTTCTAAGAGAATGTCTAAACTTGTTTACATGACAATATACTTTCGCTTTGCAAGAGTTAAAACGCTATTACTAGATTTTTCTGTTATCCTTTCTAAATTAGTTTTAACTGCACGTATTAATATGCATGAAAAATTATATACAGACTTTTAGTCATGATTTGCTAAGTTAAGATAAACTATACAAATACCATCCTTCATTCATATATACATATATACACATATAATTTCAAAAGACGACCAAGATAATGTAATTCAGAATCAAAATCAGAAGCTGCTTTGAAGAAACTCTCATTCAAAATAAGCTTAACGAGAAATAAATGTCAAATTTTTAACTGAAAATGCTAAATTTTTTAACATAGGTGTTATGAATGTCAGATATTTTAGATCTGCTCTACTAATATATAAACATGAAATATAGACTATTTTTACCAAGATGCATCGACTATATGTAACACACGTCCTACATTTCAGTGAAATTTTGGTAGAAAAATTTTTCAACAAACAAGTCCTGTTTTGAATTTTAATTACTTTTCCAATTTACGGGCTAAATATAATTTTCAATGAGTTATTCTAACTAATTATGGCTCATTAGCAAAACTATTCTCTGAAAAAAAAAGTAGTGTCAGAAATTTTCTCAAACAATAAGAATAATCTCAGAATTCAATTAGGCTTTTTTACCCTTTTCTGGTTGTCTTTTGATGTATATGCATACACATAACAGCGATGGATTTTCAGTTACACTTAAATTTCAAAATTATGGAAAAAGAAAATGGATTATAATTTGCATTGCGTTTTAGAACAAAATAATAATTGAATACTTCCACTAAATTTCAAAACATACGAAAAAATTATTATTATTGCTTCTATATCGTATCAGCATCACTTACATTTAATGAAGAAGTGAAGGTCTGAATTTTATTACTTTCTAGAAGGGAAAATCAATAGTTAAAATTTATAATCTAGCGAAAACGTTATTAGCAACTAATAATATTTTTAAAAGACAAGACTAGAATTTTAAAATTTTGGTAACACATTTCTAATTCGTTATCGATAACATCGACACCCTATACACAATAATGCATATGTAACCTTTCATATACATTATTGTGTTACATATGCAATAATGTATACGTAACACAATAATGTATATGAAAGGTCTTTATCACATGAGTAATAACGAAACATTTAACGATTAAAAAAAATCTCAAGCTTAGTAAAATTAATTTTTCAATCAGTAACACTTTAGATATAATAATAAGAAGAAGAAAAAATCCACCGCTGCCTGTATATCCATATATAAATGATGGAAGTATGTTTTTAGGGCATTAAACATAGTATATTTAAGAAATGGCCTTAGGAACATACTCAACAAGATTAATAAGGAATTGTGAAATTTTCCGTTCATTAAAATAACCAAGATAATTCCTGGTCATGATTTTCCTTCCTAACATTTTGAGTTCGTTGCCTTGAGCAAGTACTTAAGTTCCGAATAGGTGGAAACCATACCTCATTGAAATCCACGCATGTGTTTTCGAACAAGAGCTGGTTTATCACTTTGTTTGTCGATGATATAGTATTCAAAGGCAGGTTACGGAGCAGAGGCACAGCGCTGGAGACAGCGGCACGTCTCGTGTCATGCTGCCTCCTTAGGTTCTGTAGTCATTCTCTTGGCCATTTCTGCCAACACTTCTTTGAAGATAACGGCATCTATGTTCTGTCCAAGCATGTAGACTAAAAACCAATCTCCTATAGAACCTCTTCGCACTACAGTATGTAAGTGATCTAAATGCACGATCCTGAACCTCATATTTAACAAATAGACCCTCACAAGAGGACAGGCAGCGATGACCACCCGGAAGACAAGTACTAAACCGGTCAAAACAGAAAGGATGATAAACCAGAACCAGAGGAAGATATATATCTTCTCGTTTATAACATTTAAGGGTAAGACACAAAGTGCATCGTGCATCTCGACATTTCCGGAAGAACCGTATTTGTAGAAACGGCACTTTGTTACCCTCGGAAATATGCGAATCATTGGATCTGTACGCATCTCTTGATCTCTTTCCGAATAACGAAGGACTTCGACGCCGTAGCTGAGGAACTCGCCGTCGAAGAAACGGTTCATAAGGAACATTTGTCCCACTACATTGGCGAAGGCCATTGCTTCGCAAAGGAAATAGCGTGCAGCGTACCAATCGTGTTGTCTCAAGCTGCTCATCAAATAGTCCACCAACAGCTTCTTCTTTTGCTTCTTCTCCGCCTCAGCGCACAAGGCGATGTCTAAATCCATCATGAGCGCCTGGATTTTGCCTCCTTCCCACATGCGCCACAGCCAGCGCGGTATGTAGAAAAGAGCCGCTTGGAAGAAGAGCGTGAAGCACACCCACTGGTAATACCTGTGATAACGGAACTGCGATGCGTCCTGGGTAGAGTCTATGCCTGGATGAGGGACCTCCTTGCCCACCTCCTTCCCGTATGCTGAGGGCACCGTATATGTGGTGTGTATCCAGCAAAATGTGTTAATTACAGATTCAGGCACCTCACTGCTATGAATACAGTCGATGGGTTCTCCCACGAACTGCTTCGTAGTGACTATAATGCAGAAAGCGATGAGCACAATGACCGTGACTGTGTAGTGGAGCCGAAATACGTTGTTGTCGATATGAACCCTGCTGATCTTCAGCAGGCTCTTGAGGCTCCGCAACACGTCGAGCATGCCGTAACTCGTCGTCGTGTCGCTCGAGTCGGACCCGAGCCGCTCGCGAGCCCGCCGAGTTCTCGGGGGTCGCAGGGGCCGCGTATCAGAAGACTGGCCTACAATGGTGCCGGTTGGGAGCGAGCACGAGAGGGAAGGGGAACAGGAGGGGGAGGAGCAATCTGGGGCGGGTCTGGCTATTTTCTTAACAAATCTGTCCACTGGAACATGGAAACATCCACCTCTTTCCCTCCATTGGAGAAGGAAGCTATCACAGTCTTTCTCTGGTTGCTGTTTTTCCTCACCTTCTGTTTTTTGACCGCGAGTTGACTTCCTAGTTTTAAGAATAGCTGCACTCAGGGCAGGCACCTGAAAGTGGTTTCACAGTAAAACTCATCTGATATGTGGGTCGACTTGGGAACCGCAGGATTGGGAGTAAATTAGGACAGTTGCATTCTATTAGATTTTATGTTTTAAGAAATGTCTTGAAATTTACTTAAAATTACTGAAAACAGCAACCTATTTGTCTGAAGTTAATGAATGAAGTTTGAAAACAACTACTATGAATTGTATCTTTTTGAAAAAATGTTACTCATCTGCATGTTTCTCAAATGTGGTAAATACTCCTCAGATGTAATAAATACTAACAAAGCTAACGATTTAACAGTATAAATAAATAAATTGTGTATATCACCGAATTAGGTTGAAAATAGAATTAAAGGAAAACGAAAAGGTTCCAGCTATCCTCTAGGATACTTTCAATAAACTGTTCACTCTAAGCTATATTCGGAAATTCGAAATTTGATCACTTGATATGTTGCATAATCCCATATCGTCTGCTAGAATGGAATTTCTGTGACACGTGAAGGCACGCTATTTTAGATCAAGCATTGAAAAGAAATGTTCAAAATTCACCAGAAAAACTGAAGGTTTACATTAGTCCACAGCAGCTACGTGAATGATTCCTATATGCATGGCTTTATTGCATGGAGTAGATTATAAAACATAGTTTAGCACACAAATGTTTTTCACCAACATAACTTCTCTCTTCTCTGTAAGAAATTCTTATTTACGTGTGCACATTTCAGGGAAAACAAATCGCCACTAAATTTATAAGCATAGAAAAAGTGGAGGGCATTTCTCAGAAAGAACTGTTTGATCGCTCGCTATGAAATGTTTGAAGGGGGCGATCAACGCAGAACTGCCCCGCGGTCACCACATCTCTCCCGCCCGCCCGCATCGCTCGGCGGGGCTGCCATCTGTCCAGTCATCCGCTCTGACGGGCAATTCCGCGACTGCTATACCCGCCCGGAGCCGACCGCTGTGGTCGGTGGTCACGTGAACGCCGCCGCCCCTGCGCCCTCTGCATCGGCACAGGAATCACAGTTTTCGGTTTCGGTGCCGATTTTGTTTCATTTCGTCGCCATACTGAGTCTGAATACTCACAGTATAAAAGGCTTGGTTTTACAAAACCTTTTTTTTTTTTTAATAAATATCGATAAATTCAATTCCCAGTTTATTAAATTACCGATTACTTAAATGATTATGTTTGTTTATGGCGGAAAGAGGGTAAAATTACTATTACAAACCATTGACATTGACAAAACTGTTTATGGAAAATGCAAAAAGAAAAAGAAAAATACGTGAGATAATAATAGTGATATACGTCATAGTATTTGGGTTTGGTTTTAATCCACATCAGTGATAATTTAATTGTGCGTAATCCGAAATTTATAACCATTGTACAGTTTAAAAAAAATGTAACCGACTTTTTGCCCGAGTTTGAACTCAGTGACCTTGTTTTGATTTTTCTCGTAAATGCTGTTTTTTTATACCACTTATACCTTATTTTCTTAATTTTTAATATAATTATTCTTCCTTTACTATGATACGTTCTCTTTGTTTTTTGTCTTCAAATTAAACTGCTGAGAAATACAGATAAATTTTTAAGAATATTTTTCCTTTAAATTATAGTACACGTTAGATCCCGTTACTTAAAGCCCCTTCGAAACTAGTGGAAGCAAGTAATTGCAATTAAGCCACGTGAACACCCAATAAGCAAACGTATCTACGGCAGAGGTGGCGGTTATAGCCTAACTCTCCTATCTCCTACCGTCTGCTTTTAAATACTTTCTTCAAAGTAGAAATTTGCATTCCTTCACGCGCGCTACAAAATTTAAATATTCTGGCACTGACAATTAGGGGAATGAAGGCTTATAGGAAAGTTAAAACGTAAAATTTAACTTGTTAGTTAAAATAAATATAAATCCGTACCATTAAAAGATCTAATCTTACTTTAGGGATCAGAGTTATTAGCTTTTGAGATTAGATATTTTTGGTGAAGAGCTATGTTATAATATGCTCATTTTAAAATATCTAAATCAAATTCTATTAACTTTGAACCAGTTAAAAACTGAAAATGCGAGAGCTATCTTGCTTAATTTTTCCTATCTCCGTTTTAACTGTGAGATGAAAGTGTAAGTCATTTCTTAATGAAATAATGATGAATAAAATGAAATGAAATAATTCCTTTCCTATAATGAAAAAAAAGCGTTTCTTTTATTTATCAAATTATAAATTTTATTTATCAATTATGAAAAAAAAAGTTAGTTCTCTTATTTATCAAATGACTGCATACAGTTCCAAGTTTTGATTGCAAAGCTATAGCTACTTTTTCTTTCTATCGCAGCGTTATATTCTACGAAGATTATATACATAAAATGCAAAATTGATTTGTTTTAAAAGGCAGTTGCAACCCATTGCAATGATTTATTATCTGATAACCTTATGTAAATTTGATGCATTTATATAAACATAAAGCATCAAATTCAAATTAAATAATAAATTGTTTTATTATAAAATATGTGATAATGATTTTTTGTCCCTTTTTATTAAAAAATTTCAAATTATTAATAATTATTTAAGATTTTTATTTCATTTCGTTAATGGATTCAAGAGAAGCGTGATGCGCATTATCCGTCTGACAGTTAAGTTAGATTAGGATATCTGACGACAAGGACTATCTGTCTAAAGAGAGCAGAAGAGCACTTTAAAAAAAAAAAATTACTGGCTCGTATTTAATTTACAACTCAAAACTACAAAAACCAACCTTGCTGTCAGCCCTATCGCCTGGGATCTAAACCAGGTCAAACTTCCAGTATTCAGAGGTTCTAACCACTCAACCATAGGTGGAGTAAAGCTGCCTCAGGGAAGGGTGCTTTAGACAAATAAAAACATGCGTAGGCATGCTAAGGAAAGCTGCTTCTTATTTATCACATGTGGGAATAACATGAAAACGCTCTTTCAGTTATCCTATTCGCAAAGATTCGAATTTGATTCAAAGTGTCAGTATTCAGCTCTCCTATCTATTGGGTCACTGGTAGGCAAATAAATCTTTTATTGTAGTTATTCTTTAGAACCGTATTTATGGTTTAATATTATTTATTTCCGCCGCCTAGACAGGAAAGTGATTAGCGATTCTGGCAGACGTACCAAATATGGCTGGGTTCGAATGCCGGATAAGGCATGGATGTAATTTGGCCTTCCCAGCAAACCTATTAGCTGTCTCCAAAATAAAGTGAACATCGATTCCGCCCGTAGTAGTGGCCAATGCCTATAAACAGCTAGAGCCCGCCCTTGGAGGAGAAAAAATGTTATTGACTTCTGCTTTTCGTAACTCAGTTTTATTTATTTTACTTTTTGCAATAGTTATTTATTTATTTATTTATTTTTTCAAAACGATGTTTAGTTATTACCGGCACTTATCCATATTGAGAATATTTTGGGGTAAGGCTCTTGTTGGGGAAAATCAGTGTTTTTGCATTATTCTCTCATAATAGTTTTCTTTGAACTACCTAAAACGATTGTGTTATTTCTTTCCAACTCAAAAATTTTTTACTTTTTTTAAAAAATTTCACTGATGCTTAAACAATTCAGTAACAAATTTTTAGAAAAATATATTCTTGCAATCTCGTCTTGACAGACAATGAATCTAAGGAATAGATTCGCGCAAGCGATCCGTTTAGCATTAATTGTAGTTATTCCATCCAATACAATTCTTAACGACATTAAATGTGGTCATATCAAAACAAAATTCGAAAATATATCTCGCTCAGTGGCAAACATTTTGTTGAAAAATGAAGCAAGACAAATTCAGTGCTAAGAATGGAGCAACAAATTGGTTGATGTCGTTTCAATGTATTTTTGTGCATTAAGTCTGCTACAATAAACTCTAGGCAACCACAGTGACTTCCAATTTCAAAGCTTACTATGACGACGCTGAATCAGTCTGAACTTCAACAGGATTTCTTACAGAAGAAACTGCAGTAAGAACTACTATGCAGATTAATTGGGCAATGCAAAAATCCAGGTTCATTACCAAAAACGTAAATCGACATTAAAACTTATTTGAAACAGTAAAGTTTAATGCCAAAAACACTTTAATCATTGCTGTAAAACTCCAGAAATTAACGTCGTTATTTGCGCTCTCCACTCAGATTAATTTTTTTCCAATGGCGGGCATAAGTCATCATAGACGTTGGCCATAGTGAAGGCCACAGGCGATGGACATTATTATGAAGGCACCTAATAGCTGGGCCACCTTTGCCTCCTATGAAGGGACGGACAGTTATAACCATACCTTCTCTGGGATTCGAACCCGGGCCATCTGGTATCGCAGTCGGGTCCCCTAAGGGTCCTCTGACCACTGTACCATCTCGGCGGGTCCACTTGGATTATTTAAAATTTTTAAAATTTCTTAACTCTTTCATCGGAATTAAAGCAAATAATGCTATAAAAAATCTGTATGTAAGAAATTAGATTGTAGGAGGGTAATAAAGTATGTAATTTAATTCATATATAAATAAATTTGCTATTGACACTATAGCAAAACTAAATTAAAATTCATTATCCTGACCGAAAAAAGGATGACTGTGTAAGATGATTAGTAGGAACCAGATAATTGGCTGTATAACATCGAGAATGAAAGCAATATTATGAAAACAGTGTTTTTAAATTATCATAAATAGTGTTAATAAAGTTTCATTACTCTAATATTTTAAAGCTATGCTTGTTTCAGAGCATAAAAAAGTAATAGTGATAATTTATTTTAAAAATAAATTTCTGACTTTTCATAACAATCTGGAAACTTGTCTCACCATTTTGTCTGCTCTGATTGTACGTTCACCATAAAAACCTGCCCAGATAAGCTTCCTTCATATTTCAATATTTTCAGTAATAAAATAATATTTTTCCTGTTTCAAACAATTTCGTGGTATTTAAATTATATTTTTTGAATAAAAATAACCCAAAGTGATAATAACAATTGTATAACTGTGCCTGAAATTTTTACTAATGTTTCAGTTTGAAGTTACGTAATTAAAATCATTGACTGAAACTGAACTTCCGATGCTTGCGTTC